CGTGCGCGTCCTGAGGAGTCGGGTGAGTGGTGGACGTGCGCGTTCTGAGGTGTTGGGTGCGCAGCTGACGTGCCCGTCCTGGGGTGTTGGGTGTGAAGCGGATGTCCACGTCCTGAGGTGTTGGGTGCGCAGGGGATGTACACGTCCTGAGGCGTCGGGTGAGTGGTGGATGTGCGCATCCTGAGGTGTTGGGCGAGGATGGATGTGCGCGTCCTGAGGTGTTGGGCGAGGATGGACGTGCGTGTCCTGAGGTGTTGGGTGAGGATGGATGTGCGCGTCCTGAGGAGTCGGGTGAAGATGGATGTGCGTGTCCTGAGGTGTTGGTGCCCAGTGGACGTGCGTGTCCTGAGGTGTTGGGTGCACGGTAGATGTGGATACTAATACATCAGTTCTGGGGAAGCAGGTAGTCTCATTACTTGATTATTATTTATGGATGATGTAATAAATCTCTACCTTTTCCATAATTGAAAACCTCTAGGACTGTGTTCCCAATATTGCCTGAATTCGTCACTTTAGTTATGTTTAGATATCATTGTTAATTCAAATCATTTTGTTTAAAAAATGGCATATCGAGGGATGTGTGGACGTGCCTAGCAAAAGTGACCTGAGGTTTACTGAGATTCGGCCCCTCAGTTCCACCTGTGTGTAGGAACCACTTCATTCATCACAATCTGATGCTAGAAAAGTAGATATTTTCTGAGATATTTAAAAATTAAATATCTAAATCTGTAATAAATGTCAATATGTGTACTGTTATACATCTGTATGCATTTTAATGCTTTATAATCCTAGATTTTAATCAATATAAAGTTCGAAATGTGCAGTGTGCATCTGTTCTCTGGATAGAACTGAATCTGACAGTAATATCTGAAAATAAAATCTAAGTCAAATTAGTGGAAGAGTATCTGGAGAAGGATGATGAAATTCCCAGGTAAAAGAAGGATAACCTAATGCAAACATCTATAGAAATGTTCAGTTTTCATACATTCAGTGCAACCAGATTCAAAGTTTATGGTCAAAGAGACTCTGAAGACAGACACTACACAGTGGTAGAAGTGGAAAGAATTGGAATGTTAGTAATTAATAAAAAAATTTTTTTTTACCAATTCCTCCGAGCTTAGGATAGTACCCTGAAAGCAAAACGAAAAACACAAAATATTAGAGAAATTTTAATGTATTTAAAGCAAGGTATGTATAACATAAATTAAAAGCTGAGAATACTCTTAAAGATTATAGCGAGAAATGTTGTATTTTCAATGATGTGTTGAACTGCCTTTGTGATCTCTGCATCAAGACCCAAGTGAGCTTATTGTATGGGGCTGCTAATGTTCATCCTCTGAGTAATGTGAAGACACATGCATTGTGAAAGTTACATCTTTTTCTCTTATTAAATAGATGCACATTGGAGGAAACCTGGGGAATTTTAAATGGCCATGTAGAATTTGCTCTTATGTTATAGAGTTTCTGTGACTATTTTTCTTTGGTCTTAGATTTAAGGTGTATATGATATTTTTCTGTTCTGCAAATGCTACTCTGATGACTGAATACTACTAAACCAGAGCTGTATTTCAGATAATGTTTTTGGGATATGTTCCTAGATGTAGAATTAAATTCATATTTGATTCTGTTTTTAGAAGAAGAAGCTGTCACGTGATACTAATATTTGATTCTGCCCTTTTAATAATTTTATCAGGAATCTCAGGAATTAGTTCCACAAAGGTAAAGAGGAAGAGAAGAGAGAATGTGTTTATAGCATTGTCAGGGAAAATATATAAAGATGAAAAAAAATTTGAGATTAAAAAAATAAATCTCCAAGTTGCTAGTCATTAGATCAATCCCAGTAACTTCTTTCCTTCTTGCCAGTTTGGTTTAGAGAAGTGGCTGACTGCTTCAGCTGTGTGTGATACTTATAATGGTACAGCTGTAACTGAGTAATTTTAATACCCTAAAATTACTTTCAAATTGGAAATAGACATATTGTCCACAAAAAGTTGAAGATTAGATGAGGTAATACATGTGAAGATTAGATGAGGTAATACATGTGAAGTGCTGAGAACAGTGTCTATGAGTGCTGTGCTGGCTCGTGTGATTATCAGTGTCGGCATCTCACAGTGAATGGGAAATGTCATGATTATCTGGGAAATTGAGGTCAGATAGAATGCTTCACACAAAAGTGATTTAAAATCAAAATCAGATTAAGAATAATATTACCTGGGCTCCAAGTTGTGCTACAAAAATTGGTAACATCTGAAAAAAGAGAAAAATTCGGTAAAAAATAAATTCAAGAGAAATTCTAGCAGATGACATAAATATTGAGACTTTCTTAAAAGGATACAGTATTTTTTGAACAGATATTTGCTAGTAATGTGTCATCTCTAATCATAAATATAGACTCACAAACCTGGATGGGAAATGGAACTTGTTCAGTCTGTAAAAAATTTTAGATCCAGAGAGGTTTAGAAATCAGTTCAAGACAGTCCATTGAGAAGGTAGAAGTGAGTGAATTCGATGAACAAAGAAATAGTCTCAGGTGATCTCTAGACTGAAAATTATTCCAAGTAGTAAAGATGATAAAAATGCACAGATTTCTTTAATGTGGCACATTAAAATATGTAGCAGGTATTTTAAAATGCAGAGATTTCTTGAAATTTGTATATTTAGTGTTGCATACCTGGCAGGACATTTGCTATTAAAATAAAGCAGTTATGAATGAAATTGCTCAACAACCCTGGTATCAACACAGCTCTGAGAACTAGGTAAGAAATAATTCAGGGGTTACTGATAACTAAAAGTTACAAATTTATAGCTGAATGAGATTTGGGTGAGGTATCAGCAGGCTCTAGTAATCTCTACCACTCAAGAACTAGCCTTGAGTTTCTTAGAGAAAATTGGGGTTTTAAAGATTTATTTTTCTTTTTATAGAAAATTCACTATCAGGAAAGTAATCAAAATGGAATTTTACTTTAATAATAACAAACCCAAAAGGTTTGAAGTCCTTGTGAAATGGGTTCTTAATTTTATTATTTCCCTGGAAAGCTGGCACAGCAATTATGGAATGATGGCATGTTAACATGCAGAAAGGAGACGCATTCATGAAGAAGCCTTACTTTCAGTCAGGTTCTTGACGACTGACAAAACACAGTAACAGCAGGAACAACAACAAAATTGAGTAATAGCTGGGTGGTGATAGGAATGCGGTCTGGGAGAAGGGACACGGTGTTTGGGAGAAAATGAAATTGAAATTTCTTCTTTAAAGAAAAGTTAGAATGGAAGCAATGAAAAGATAAAAAAAGGAAACCACAGCTGTTGAGTAATATCTGTAACAGCGCGTGATTCATCTGTTCACCAATATTACAGTAAAGAGAACACATTTCTTCTTAGTTGTTGGTAATAAAATTACTTGAAATAATAATGGCAAACACATATTTATTATGTGGTAATATTATAAGTGTTTTACATATATTTACTCAATTTTTATAATACTTTTAGAGAAAGATTATACTTTAATGCCCATTTTTTTTTTCTTTTGTTGCAGTTTGGCCAGGGCTGGATTCAAACCTACCACCCTCTGTATATGGGGCTGGCGCCCCACTGACTGAGCCACAAGCGCCATACTTTAATGCCCATTTTAAATTTTGGAGAAGTGGCTGGGCTCTGTGGCTCGCGCTTATGATTCTAGCACTCTGGGAAGCTGAGGCAGGTAGATGACTTGAGCTCAGGAGTTCGAGACCAGCTTGAGCAAGAGCGAGACTTTGTCTCCATTAAAAATAGAAAAATTAGCCAGGGACTGTGGCAGTTGCCTGTAGTCCCAGCTACTTGTGAGGCTGAGGTGGGAGGATTGCTTGAGCCCAAGAGTTTGAGGTTATTGTGAGCTATAGTGCTGTGGCACTCTACCCAGGGCAACAGAGTGAGACTCTGTCACTACATAAACAGACAAACAAATAAATAAATAAATTTTGGAGAAAGTGAGCCATAGAGTGTTTAGGTAACTGGCTAATGCATGCAGATAGAGAGTCAGTAGAGAGCTGAGATTGACCAGAAGTTGTGTGATTATGGAGTTCATTCCAAACCATGTTGGCCTTTCTTTGATAACTTGGATTGTCCAGCAGGTGCCCAGGTTTGTGGCAGAGAAAGTAGCCACTTTGCACAGGGAGAGGAGTCGGAGCTGCCGAGGAGAGTTAGGTACCCTGGTGGCAAGCAGGGTCCCTAACCATCTAGGAATTCCACAAGGGATGAGGATTGATTATGTTATTGTGTGTTGGAGAGTGTGCAAGGTCAGAGCCCCCATTCTGAAGCTTCTGTAACATCTTCAGTGCCCAGTAATGCCTTTGACATGAGTGGACATTCTGGGGAGCACGAGGACGTGCCAAGTCTGGATTCAAGATTAGAGCAGGGCACCAGTGTTGGGATTACACAAGGATCACATGTTAAAGAGATTCTCATTTTCATGTTTCTCAAGGCTTTTTCAGATGGTCAGTTTTCTTTTCTTTTTCTTTTTCTTTTTCTTTTTTGCCAAGTTTATTTTCAAGATTTTTATTGTCAAGATATTTTATGTATCTTTGGTCCCAGAAATCTTATTATGAAGTGAGAGTTGGTCCAGAGGAAATAGCTACTGATATAATTATAGACTAAGTCACGAAGATTTTCACTGTACCATTGTTTACGGAAGTAAAAGCTTTGGAAAAACCCCACATTTTCACTATAGGGAACCAGTGGAATGCTAAGCTGGCGTTGAAATGATGTCATGAGTGAGTATTTCAAAACATGAAAACTATTGAAACTATATCTGTAGCAAAAATTAGGTTATAAAACATTAAGTGTACCAAAAACATGTTTTTTAAAAGATTGTGCTTATATGTTTAGAAAAAAAGACTGGAAGGATATAACAGGGAATGGTGATGGTTATGGATGACAGGACTCTGGATGAATTTTATTTTATTTTTTTGCATGTATGTATCTTCTAAATTCTTTATGATTAATTTTTTTTATATAAAAAATAATGCTCCTACAAAAAATTAGACCATTATGTATGATGGCGGGAGCAGAGGTCACATGCTGGGGAGAATAATTTATCTGCCAATAACTTAGTCTCGCCACTAAAAGATTATTGTATTTTTCTCCAGAGCCCGCTTGGACTTTTATTCAGTGTTAAAATTCAAACACTTCAAAAGGGGGTGATGCCTTAGGTTTGTCACTTCTGTCTTGGTGAGAGAGTTTTCCAGAATGAGAAGAAGATTGCATTTGCTGAAGATAAACTTTACCCACCCTTCACTTTTTCTTTGTGATGATCTTCTTGGTCATCCAGAAAGTGCTCAATAGAAACTATTCTGCTAGAAAAAATCCTGGAACCTCTCAACTTTTCCCCTTATAATTTTGACTTCTCCATTTTACCCAACTTTTCATGGCTTCCTGTTACTCATTAAAAATGTGGGTGGTGTCTGTGGCTCAGTGAGTAGGGTGATGGCCTCATGTACCAAGGATGGCAGGTTCAAACCTGGCCCGGGCTAAACTGCAACAAAAAAATAAACGGGCACTGTGGTGGGTACCTGTAGTCCCAGCTACTTGGGAAGCTGAGGCAAGAGAATCTCCTAAGCCCGAGAGCTGGAGGTTGCTATGAGCTGTGAAGGCACAGTACTCTGCCAAGGGCGACAAAGTGAGACTCTGTCTCTAAAAATAAATAAACAAACAAATAAATAAATAAAGTGCTCTAAGGGGTCCTAGGGTAGCATGATTAGTTTCCTGGTTACGTGTTCATGAGTTTTTATCAAGAATCAAATTGCCAATTACTGTTCCTTGCTCAGTGGAACTTTTGTCTGCAGGTTACCTGGGCAAAATTTTCGAGAAGCTTCAAAGAATTCTTTTTCTCCTGTAGGCTTCTACTAGAGAGAAAATGATTTCCAAGGTTAAACCAAAGTCCTGCTGTTGTACATACCTGTGGCTGCAACTGCTGTGCATTCAGTCCCCCCAGAGATGGTGAGTGGGCCTGGGCGCCAGGTGCCAACCCTGCAGCAGGACTTAACTGTAGGGAATGAAGATTTTCCTTGTATCTTTTCAGTTTGAACATTCAAGAAACTAAAATGTATTTACTAAACATAAAATATGCTTATAGGGAGGACTTGCCATGTAAATATACAGTGTCCTATTATTGCACACTGAGTTAGATACAGAGAGGACATCCAAAGACTTAACTAGTCTGCTCGCCCAACCACAAGGTCATTGCTATCTGTACCCAGGCTAAGTTTTTCTATGGCATTTAATGCATTGTCTTTGAGAATTATATAGGTGATTTTATCTTTGCTTTCCCTTTCTGGTTATAAGCAATGGTTCCTGGAATTACTCTGATAGCTTTTTATTAAGAAATTAATTCTTTGAAACACTCTCTGTGACGCATTGTTATGTCTGAGACTCAGAGTACCAGCAGGTTTAGTAAGGCTCACTTTCTTGTTACAAAATGTTCTTTAATGTTAAGTTCCTAAGTTTGTAATTTTCAATTAACTGTTCTAAGTAAGTCTCTCTGTTCTTTACTGTCAAATGAGACCCTCTTTATCTTTTATTATGGTTGACTCTGGCTCAGTTATGAAAATATATTATTTCAACCAAAAATATTATAAAAATATAATATTTTTGGAAATAGATTATATATGATATAACATTATGGAAATTATAAAAATAAAAAAATATCCTGTGGACATAAATTAATTTTTTCCTAGGTATCCCCATGAAAATTATGAGTTTTAGAATAAAATATCTAGTCTGAAACATGAACTGTATTTAAATTTGGCCACTAAAATAGATCCACTTTAATTAGGAGAGGAACTTATATTTCCCAAGAACTTATATTTCCCAAGTCTAAACTATGTAGACATTTTGTGAGAAGACGGCAGGTCTCCCTGTCCTTTCCAGGCTGCTCTGTTGATGGGGTGGTCGCAGTGAGGGAGTGTGCATGTGGGCATGTGGGTGTGGTGAGGGTGGCAGGGATGCAGGGTGGAGGAGAGAGGAACCTGGAGAAGAGGTGAGTGAGCTGGAGGAGGAAAGACCTGGGAATCAGATGCATTCCTTCAGAGGCTCTGGACCTGAAGAAAGCTTTTGATGTCATGTTGAATGGCACCCACGCTTCTCAACGCTTCCATCACCCCCACTCACTTGCAGTGCCCATGCTCCCTTTCAACATTTGGTATTACATTTATTTAGCAATGGGTATCAAAATAATATAAAAAGCACTTACCAGACGCAGGTCTGACCCCAGCGTGAGCATTTGTGTTAATGGTATTAGACTTATGGAAGGGAGGACCTGCAGGACATTGAAATTGATGTATGAGACAAGAGGCTGTTTCCATGACTCTGCCCATGGTCAACCTGTACTATCAATATAGGAGTATCAGTGTACTCCTATCAATATAGGAGTATCATGTGATCCATACTCCCTCCAAACATGGGCCTCTATGAAGGTAAATGGAGCCTCTTGTTAGCATGGCTCCCTTTTGTGGCCCTGGGAGGCACTCCTGTAATGTGTCATGCTTATGGTATTTACCAGCTTGAAAAATAGATTTACTCTTTAACTTCCTATCTCTTTATAAGTATTGACTTCAGTACCCAACTTTGCATTCTTTTTTATTAAAAGTGTGCCCGGGTTGAATAAGCTGCACATTCCTTAAGGGGGGAGATTGGCTCCTGTTTGAGTTCTATAATGCTGGTTAACTAAAGAAAGAACTTTGGACTCCAGCATTGTCTGACAGTACTATTCCACCAAGTCTAGGTATAGTCTGGACACTGTGGGGCTATACTATTTCATCCAGGCTGGGTGTGGTCTAGGACCTTTATAGAAGATGAAGAGTTGGAATGGGCAGGAGGGTAGTAGCCAAGAAATTATGCAGTTTTTAAAACTCTGAAGAAACAGATTTTACAGAAACACCTCAGCTCATCAGCAACAATGAAACTTAAGGAAGCCGTGAGGACACCTGCAGTTAGTTATTTTCATGGGCCACCTCTTATCCCCTGTTTTCGGTGGCAAATACCACAAAACATATGTCTCAGTATCTCAAGGGCATAGATGACAAAGCTTTTGCTTTTCAAAGTTTAATGGATTTTATTGATAAACCAAATTATTCTTCAGAGAAAGAGAAAAAGAATGACAGTGTTTTGCTTTTCCTATCAAAAATTAAAAAAATAAAAACATATTGGTTCTTTTTTCTGTTTCCTCCAAATGAAAAGCCTTTCTTTTTGTTTAGTTATGAGACTCATGTAAATCTTGATTCTAAGCCCCTCAGTCTCAGCGTGTTTCCCTGCTGGTTTGGGGGCTTCCTGCTCTAAGACTCTCACCTGATTTGGCTGCTGCTGGGTGGGCAGTGTTGCCTCGTCTGGAGCCAGCTTTGTTGGCTGAAGTCCCAAAGTGGGGCTAAGATGCTTCTGTGAAGACAAACATGCATTTGAAGAGACGGGACTGTGTTTAGAGTCTTGTCCATTTATATCAGAAGGTAACAGGCTGTCCCCAGTGGAAAAATGTCTCTCTTTAGGCTCTGTGTGTTCTGGGCAGCTTAGTTCCTTGAGATATCCTATGCTTGGCAGGATGTGAAGTTACAGAGTGGAATAATGCCGTTGGTGGGCAGGACAGGGTGGGTGGAGGACGGCAGGATGCGTGGGGCATGTGCACTTCTGGTGGTGGTTCCTGGCTCTCACTTCTTTTCTGTAACCACCTTTCTTTTTTGCCAGGACACCAAATGTGTAATCTGCACCCTGACTCTGTGCTCCTTTGCTTTTTCTCGGTACTTGAGCTAAGCTGCCGTAGTTCTTACTGAATTTTCACGAAGCCCCCACCTTTGTCTTCCCACTGCTGTGGCACTCTTATAAAGGAAGTTCAGTTTCCTTCCTGGGTATTTTCCTAGTGTATTAAAAATCATGCAATTTTAGGGCTGAAAATATTCTTTCCACTTATTTGGTCTAGTTGTATAGTTTATAGTTTTGTTTTTTATAATTGAGGGCCAGAGAAGCTAAGTAACCTGGCCAAGGTGACACTGTGAGCACCAGACCCATGCTAGGATCTCTGAAAATGCTCTTTGTCCCTGAAGAAAATAAAAAGCTCTCTCTGCCACATTGATCCTGGCTGCCTTTGCTCCTGGATATGACCCAGGAGGCACAGGGTTGTCACCTTGAGTTTACCCTGGAGCAATCTTGGTTTCAATTTGGATTTTCCTCCTCAGTCATCTTTTCCCTCAATTGTAAGAGAAGAGGCTGGCATTACCTGCCCTTAGGTGTCCCTTTCTGCTTTGAGATTATATAGGTACAGACCATGAATAAGTCCTTCTGTCCTCTGCAATCTATTGTTAGCATAGCCACCAGTGTGACCTTTGAAGACAGTTGTCTGACCTTGTCACTCTGCACAGTGTGTGCAGTGACTGTCAGCTTTGTGCAGAGCCAGAGCCAGAGATCCTGTCCTGGACTGCAGGACCCTCTGCCCTGTCTCCCTATACCCCATCCCCCTCAGCTCCATCCCTCTCTGCCCTGTCTCTGTCTGCCCCATTCCCCTCTGCCCTGTCCCTCTCTGTGCCATTCTCCTCTCCCTAAGCCCCTCATGTATTGTCACCCTCTTCCCTGGCCATACAGGTGCTTTGCTGTTTCTGGGACAGGTGAAACACTCCTGCCTCAGCACCTCACTTCACCTGTCCGTTTGTCTGGAATGCTCTCCCCCAGACATCAGCTCACTTCCTCCCCTGCACTAGGTCTTTGCTTGAATTCACCTCCTCACTGAGGCTGACCCTGACTCTCTCCTGGACATGCTTCGGCCCCTCCCCTCTGGTACCCGCAGGCCTGCCCCCTCTTGCCCCAGAGTGCCCACTCACCACCTCCTAACATGTTAAGGGATCACCTGATTTAAGCTTTTCATCATTTATCACTTGTGTCCTTGTAAAACACAAACTTCACAAGGTATCTCTAGCAGGTAGAGCAGTGCTGAACAAATACCTGTTCAAAGAATGAAATGTTGTTTTCTTCTAGAGCATTCCTGTGCCTGTGCTGAGACTTGATTTGCCTTATTTTCTTTCTTTCTGCTCCCTACTCATAGCATTTTCCATCTGGCATTTATTCTGCAACTTTTGACCAACTGACAATGCTTGCTATGTTGTTTTATGTATCCACATTTGATATGGATTGATCTTTTTACCCCTTTATGATAACTCAAAATTCATTTATATGTAATCAAAATACCTTGTCCTGTGCCTTAACTTTTTGTTTGACAAATGTTGGCCCTATACCAGGACACTTCTGTGCCTGCCCCCGACCACACACCTGCTCTCGCTCCGGCTGTAGCATCACGGTGGCCTCCAAGGCAGCCTGTACCTGCTTCTTAGCCCACCTCGCACAAGAACCATGCTTCTGGAAAGTTATCTTTCTCTTGGTTTTTTACAGATTATATAGTAATTAAAATATACTAGAGAAACCCTATTTGAAGAACCTTTGATAAATTACTTCACCTCTATGGTTTGTCTTACAAGGGTACAAGTGAATGTTTCTAAAAGTAGAGTATAAATGTCTTAACACAATAACTAAGAAAATTGACATAAAGTCTATGTTAACCAGTTTGATGAAAATATTTCAAACTGTATATGAAAACACCACACTGTACCCCATGATTGCATTAATGTACACAGCTATCGTTTAATAAAAAAAATTCACTGAAGTAAAAGATCCATTTGTTTTATATAAAAATTAAATTTCTCCTTTACCTAGTTCAGAAAATTAAATTTTCCCAGACATCTTCTTTCAAAGCAGAAATAGAAATATATTCAGAGTAAATTGTTCCATCCTCCACAAGCTCACCCTGTTTATCTCCTTCACAGAACTAATCACAGTTATTATTTATAATTTAACATTTATTTAAAATCATTTAATTAATGTCTACAATACTAGTGACACATGAGGGGTTGTGCCTCATCCTTTTTATCCTTCAGCGCCTGGCATGGTGCCCACCCAGTGCTCAGCTTTTCAGCAGCTGCTTGTAGAGTGTATAGATGGCCATGGGGGAGTCATGTGAGCCTGAAGAGCAACTGGCATGGTTTCTTTTTGTTTTGCTACTTCATAAGAAATATTTTGTAATTTTTGTCTTAATGTGCATACTCAAGAATCTTAAACAGCCAAAGGGAAATTTATTTAAAGAGCAAACCACCACCTCTGCACCTATAAATCTGTGAGGAACAGCTGAGGCCTGTAGGAGCCCATCACTGCTTTCTTTAAGCTGTAACATGCAAACACTTTTTTGGTGATGTGGGGAGGTTTCTGGTGAAAATCAGAAAACCTGCTAGGCAAATTCTCAAAGAGCTATAAGGTAATAGCTTTTCTGATGAAGTGTTCTAGGTCAAGAATGTCAACCACTTTATAATAGACTTATTTGGTGGCCTTTTTAGTTTATACAATCTAGATATTTAGAGTTTCTAATCAGAAATATCAGAAAATGTAGTTTACTTATTTAGTCATGAACAAATAACTAGTTGCCAAGAAAATCGTAAATTCTTTTTTGAAAATAAAGTAATTATCCACTTAGTGTAGGTACAACGGAAGGCATTCTTTTGTCTTCTAATTTCTGCCAGAATGATAAAAATTCTACCATTACAGGGTGAATGCATTTTTAAAAGGAAAATATCTTGAAATATGCACCAATACCTATGAGTTTACTATCTTCTGCTTTGGAAAATAAAAACAGGGAACCAAGGGAATGAGTTGCAGGGCAGAGTGGTTCTGACAGAGGCAGGAAGAGAAGGAAGCCACAGATACTGTCCAGGCTGGTTGGTACACAAAGAAAACAAGTCACACTTACTGGCCAGGGCTCAGCTGAGCCTAGTGGGTACACAGAGTAAACAAGTCACACTTACCGACCAGGACTGAGCTGACCCTGGTGGGTACACAGAGTAAATGTGTCACACTTACTGGCAAGGACTGAGCTGGTCCTAGAAGACAGAACAGTAGAATCATAGTCTTCATGTTTCAAGTTTACCTAAAACAACAAAACAGTCACTCTTTCACTCCATTGTTTTTCCTTTTGAGAAAAGATGCTTAAAGAAAATGAATGTTTTACTTGAAACATGGTCAATTAATGTTACCTTTCTGTCCAGCAGGCAAAATACACAATTGAAACAGTAATCAAAGTCCAGTTGATTTCTGCAGGCTACTCTGGAGAAAAATTTTACACTTTGAGAATTTGTGAGTTCTGGAAGGAATTTAAACTCAGCTCCAGGAGATTGGCAACTGAGAGTCCAATCAGGATTTAGCTGTCTGTGAAATCATTTGGTTTCTTTCATTCCCAACACATCATTAGGTGGGTTATTAGCTGCAGACATTGTATTACCCAATGTCTACCATTGAATTGAGGGCATTTCAGGGAGATATGCCTTGTGTAATTTAAAAAAGTGCAAAAAAGTGCAGACACTAAAAAAATTAAAATCCTTCTTCACCTCCATCTTCACAGTTTCCAAGATACGCCAGTTTTATCATGTAAGTATGAATGTATAAATCAAACACCAAAACATAGAGCTCTGTGCATAGTTAAAAAATAAAATATAAAAAATTGATGGTAGGAATGGCAGCACAACTCTGTGAGTGTACTAAAGGCCATAGGGCTGTGTACTTTCAAATGGTGAATTGTGTGGTGGGTTCATTCTATCTCAGTAAAAAAGCCTATTATTTAGATTGCTCTAATTTGATTTTACTTAACAAATGATAAGCAGCTTTGTATGTTAATACGTACAGATTTATTTCATTTATGTAATGGCTATATGGCTATATTATATTACATTTCTTTGTGATGAACATTTGATTCATTTCCTTTTTATTTTGTAGTTATAAAATTGTTATGATGAATATATTTATGAAACTTTTTTGTTTTGGCACATGTGGGAGGATTTCTGTAGATGTTATTCCTAGAAGCGCTGCATTAAAGGATATGTACATTTTCAGTTCCAATAAATATGGTCAAATTGCCTTCCAGAAATGTTGAATGGTTTGCTTTATTGTAAGTGGAGGAAAATGATACTACAACCTCAAGAAAACACCAGGGACATTCTGAGATTCTCTCATGAGGTGGGGTCTGTTGAACAGTTTCTGGGACCAAATCAATGCCAGGAGGGACATTCTACCTGTATGGAATAGATACATCTTTAAAAGGCAAATACATTGAAATATGCACCAACATATTATTAGTTTTTTCATCTTCTGCACTAAAAGATGGAAAGAAGATTAAGATGCAATGAGTTATAGAACAGAGAAGTTTCGATGGAGGGCAGGAGAGAGAGGGAAGCACATGGAAGGCTGTTGAGGTTTTTTTTTTTTTTTTATAGTAAGGTGTAACATTGGTTCCAACATTGGTTTATATGGCTCCTTTTATTTGAGTTTTTCTCTTAAACTAGATGCGGAGTTCCTGAGACTTGCCCTATATTTCTTTAGAGAGTTCTATGTTTATAGTAGTTTAAAGCAACAGGTGGTTGCTACAAAAGGATGAATGAATGGTAGAGAAGGAGTGGAAGACTGGGGGGGAGGACTTCAGAGAAGAGACAGGTTTCAGGTGGACTTGGGCATAACTATAGTTAATGAGATGGAGGACAGTGTGGGAAAGGGGTTGGCATCGAGGGGAGCTGAGGGATGGGGAGGGAAACGTCATGTCCTCATGGGTTTTCCAGGCAAATTCATTCTTTCTCTTGTTCAGCCTATTCATTTTCCCGCCCATAATATAATGTATGTTCACTCTGTGTTCAGCATTGTTTCAGTCTTGGGATGAAACAGTGATGGAAGGGATGAAAACTCTGCCCTCATGGAGCTCAGCTTTGCTGGGGGAGTATTAATGTTCAGGAAGCTCACTGTACGGGGGCGGGGGGGAGCCCAGGGCACTGGGGGTTGACTTCCCTTGGCATTATTTTCTGTGTATGTGCAGGATGACACATAAAAGTTGATCAAGTTTTTTCTTTTGGTGGACACAAGAGTTGAATTTTATGGCACTGTTACTCCAGGGCTTAGGTGAGGAGGCCTGTGTTCTGTTGCTAGTCTGGAGTAGGGGCCCAGTGAGTAGCTCACTCAAAGTGAACCGTGGTTCCTGACTGGGCAGCAGGGACCTCCCTGTGTGTGATTGCTGACCGCAGACGTACCTCCAGCCCCAACTGAAACAGGATATGCCCTAGCCAGGAAAATGGGCAGTCAGTGGGATTAGACAAAAATAAACAAGCAAAATTAAGAAGGATGAGTAATTTCTTAGACAAGAAATTTTAAGTCTGAAAGCAGATAACTTACAATGATGTAATTATAGAGTTGGTAGTCAAGAAATATGTATATTATAAAAGGGAAAAATTTCTAAACCATTCAAAACAAGGAGACATCAGCAAAAACAGTGAGATAGGTTAGCTTCCAAAATGACTCAGGGGTTGGGATTTGTTGACCTGGTCTCTGAACTACATGTGTCAGCTCTTAGCCTGCAGGCTGAGGAATTCCTTCATTTTTCTTGTTGGTTTCAGTTTCAAGTCTCTTTGGATGTTGAACCTTTTTTTTTTTTTTAATTAAATCATAGTAGTGTACATTAATACTATCATGGGGTACAGTGTACTGTTTCTGCATACAATTTGATATACTTTCATCCAACTGGTTAACATAGCCTTCATGTTTTTTTCTTAGTTATTGTGTTAAGACATTTATATTCTACAATTAGAGAGATTCACGTGTACCCTTATAGGATGAACCCATCAATTACTCTCCCTCCACCCACCCTTCCCCCTCCCCTCCCCTCCTCTCCCCTCTCCCCATATTCCAGGGCTAAAATTGGGTTATGGCTTTCCTATGAAAGCTATAAATTAGTTTCATAGTAGGGCTCAGTACATTGGATACTTTTTCTTCCATTCTCGGGATACTTTGCTAGGAAGAATATTTTCTAGCTCCATCCATGTAAACATGAAGGAGGTAAAGTCTCCATCTTTCTTAATGGCTGCATAGTATTTCATGGTGTACATATACCACAATTTATTGATCCACTCGTGGATCAATGGGCTCTTGGGCTTCTTCCATGACCTAGAAATTATGAATTGGGCTGCAATGAACATTCTGATACAAATATCTTTATTGTAGTGTGATTTTTGGTCTTTGGATATATACCTAATAGAGGAATTATAGGATCAAATGGCAGGTCTGTTTTTAGTTCTTTAAGTGTTCTCCAGATGTCTTTCCAAAAGGAACGTATTAGTTTGCAATCCAACCAGCAGTGTAAAAGTGTTCCCTTTCCCACAACCACGCCAGTATCTGTGATTTTGGGATTTTGTGAGATGAGCTAATTTTACTGGAGTTAGATGATATCTCAAAGTAGTTTTGATTTGTATTTCTCTGATGATTAAGGATAATGAGCATTTTTCATATGTTTGTAGGCTATGTGTCTGTCTTCTTCTGAGAAGTTACTCTTCATGTCCCTTGCCCACGCTGAGAGGGGATCACTTGTTCTCTTCTTGCTAATACATTTGAGTTCACTGTGGATTCTGGTTATTAAACCTTTGTCAGAGACATAACCAGCAAATTTCTTCACCCATTCTGAGGGCTGTCTACTTGCTTTACTTACTGTGCTTTTGGCTGTGCAGAAGCTTTTTAATTTGATGAGGTCCCAGTAGTGTATTTTTGATGTTGCTTCAGTTGGCCAGGGGGTCCTCTTCATAAAATTTTTGCCCAGGTCGATTTCTTCAAGTGTTTTCCCTAAACTTTATTCTAGTATTTTTATAGTTTCACGTCTTAAGTTTAAATCTTTAATCCAGTGAGAGTCTATCTTAGTGGTAAAAGGTGTGGATCCAGTTTCAGTCTTCTGTGGGTCACCAGCTAGTTCGCCCAGGGAAATTTTCCCCACTCAATGTTTTTAATTGGCTTGTCAAAGATCATATAATGGTAAGTAGCTGAGTTCATCTCTTGGTTCTCTATTCTGTTCCATACATCTACCTGTCTGTTTTTGTGCCAATACCATGCTGTTTTGATCACTATGGATATATAGTATAGGCTGATGTCTGGTAGCATGATTCCTCCTGCTTTGTTTTTTTTTTCTGAGTAATGTCTTGGCTATTTGAGGTTTTTTCTGATTCCATATAAAATGAGGCATTATTTTTTCAAGATCTTTAAAGTATGACAATGGAACTTTAATAGGGATTGCATTAAAATTTTATATTGCTTTGAGTAGAATGGACATTTTAACAATGTTAATTCTTCCCAGCCATGAGCATGGTATGTTTTTCCATACTATGCTCATGGTATGGAAACATTTGTTAACATTTTCAGCTATTTCTTTTCTTAGAGTTTCATAGTTCTCTTTATAAAGGTCTTTCACATCCTTTGTTAGGTAAACTCCCAGATATTTCATCATCTTTGGCATTACTGTAAATGGAATAGAGTTCTTGACTATTTTTTCAGCTTGACTGTTGTTTGTATATATAAAGGCTACCGATTTATGAGTGTTGATTTTGTAACCTGAGACGCTGCTGTATTCCTTAATCACTTCTAAGAGTTTTGTAGTACAATCCCTGGTGTTTTTCAGATATACAATCATGTTATCTGCGAAGAGTAAAAGTTTAATCTCTTCTGATCCTATATGGATACCCTTGATTGCCTTTTCTTCCCTAATTGTGATGGCTAAAACTTCTAATACAATGTTAAAGAGCAATGGAGACAATGGGAAACCTTGCCTGGTTCCTGATCTGAGTGGAAATGATTTCAATTTAACTCCATTCAATACAATGGAGTGTATTGAAATTGAAAACAGGATTGGATTTTGGGTTTGCTGTAGATGTCCTCTATCAGTTTAAGAAATGTCCCTTCTATACCAATTTTCTTTTCTGACCATGAAGGGATGCTGGATATTATCAAAAGCTTTTTCTGCGTCAATTGAGAGAATCATATGGTTTTTGTTTTTTAATTTGTTTATGTGATGAATTATGTTTATAGATTTATGTATGTTGAACCAGCCTTGAGATCCT